GCAGATCCCCTACGCACGTAGTTGTTATTATTATGAAATTACTGGCAGAGGTTTGCAACATCCGTGCCATATATCATGATCAATATTATTCTCACGCAACTGCCATGCAGATCCCCTACCATTTCGCCCACCCGAGTTCTGTCTATCCGTTATTGATTATCCTATCTCCTCCCCCTATCCAGTGTCCACCACCTGAACAACAAACCAACCTCTTGCCCATCTCCATCATACCACCCACCCAGTGCCAGTGCCAGTCACAAAATATGGCAATCGAGACAGGCAACAGAGAAAGAACAGGGGGAAACCTTAGGTTAATTCGCAGGAGTGCATTCAAAACACAACACAACACACATTCAAAACACATGCGAAACCCATCGAATCCAACCGTCCCCACAGTTAACTGCCCGAACCACCCCCACGATTGTTCCACGTCGCTGCTCCGGGGGGGGACGGCCAACCCCTGCGAAATCAAAGGAAACCCTGCCGTCGTCATCATAGTAGGGTAAATCATCATCCACGATGTCATTGTCAGCATCAGTGTGCTGGGTCGATGATGAAGCGATTGTAAGAAAAACTTTCAGAATAAGCGGTAGAACCGCATCACCTACCTCCGCCGAAGTATCGGTGTCAGATGATGATGATGATGCCTTGTGATCTTCAGCGGACTGTTGGTGAGAGAATGAAACAGATGACAACAAATCTGTCGGAGCAAGCGCCCGGATCGCCGCCCCTACATCTGTCAAATCTCCATTTTTCGCTACGACAGACTGCGACTGACTGCCAAACGATGCCGACACCATGAAATCCTCTTGCAATTCCTTACAATCCTGATGAAGTGGCTTCTGTTGCTGGACATAGAGTGGAATATTCGATGATGTCACTGTTGTACATAATGGTGTTGTTATTGTAGTTGTTGTGATTGACAATATGGATGGCGTAGCCGCTGTTGATGCGGTTGATGTTGTTGCTATTGTTGATGTTGTTGATGCTGTCCATGTCACGCTATCTGGTGGACCGCCCACGTCTCTCCTTGCTAGAAGGCCGACAAACATATCTTTCACCTGCGTCAGCATCCCAGCACACTCTTGTAGGGCAGTCATCGCCTGTGTATCCAGCTGTCGAAGAGAGATCTGCTCATACAGTTCCTCCTCCCACCCATCGTAGATCTCCTCTCCCTCCAACAAGATATCATCCGGTAAGTTACCATGTTCTTGACTCAGCACCGCGTGCATCTCCTCCAGCTGCTGTTTATACAAGGTCACAATGTACAGTGCGGAATCTGCCTCCACGGTCTGCAGGTCAGGAGGGGTTCCCCACAGCTCCCCATGAGACAAGGTCTCCGTGCCCATCTCTGCCATCACTGTTTTGATATCGGAAGCTGCCACCGCTGTACCACAATCTGTCGACTATTTCACGGCTGGCGTTACCCCTGTCCGCGCGTCGCGGGACACCTATGTCACCAACAGCAGCCGCCACGTGGCAATCAAGACGCCACGCGTGTCTGCCGGGCGCGCGTACAGGCCTAGCTGCCTAGGGGCTCCCTCCCCCAGCCACTAGTCTAGCCGGGGGACCGGGCCTTGCCGGTCTGGCGGCGTCGGGCCGCTAGCGCTAGCGCAGCTCCTTATCCATCGAGAACCCTAGAGTCTCAAGTGCCTAGAGGCTTAAACTCTCAACATAGCTGTCTTTTTTTTTTTTTTGTTGTTCTTTTTTTTTTTTTTTTTCAAGCTGTCATAACAGAATCTCAATAACCAATAATCATGACATTTAATCTACAATAACTTCCATAATGATTCCGAATTACTTTGCCCGGGTTCACCTGCGGATATATCTCAAGAGTCAAGACTGCCACCCTTTTTTTTTTTTTTTTTTTTTTTGAAAGGAGTGTCATAGAATGTATTTGACAACCATATTGACCTTGTTCGGTGTGGGAAGTCCAAATGTTTTTATGGCCTAAGGGCCTCCTTAGACCTTCCTTGGAAATCCGATTTTTAGAAAATCCGCGTCGTTACACCACGTCCTAAATCACCAAATTCCTTGGACAAATGTGAAAACGCTACCGAGATATTTCCTTGGGTTCCTCAGAATCACCAGCCAAAACGTCCTTGGATTCAAGGGGTCCTCGCGAGGTCCCTTGGGCTCAAGGAGCCGCGATTGATGGATCGTCGTGGAGCATGCGTCGACACCAAAATTTGGATTTTTTCGTGGTGCACACGTCGTCCGTGGTCCAGACAGGCGGACACAGCCAGCCTCCAGTAGAGGACGAGCCTCCAACGGCGTTGTGTCGTTACCATTGGCGCGTAAAGGCGTGGGGGTGGTTCTTCAGTTCCGAGGCGGTTCAAGTGGTGGGCTTCTCCTTGTGCACGTCGTCGGGCGTGGTGTCCAACGATCGACTTTTTCGATTTTTTACCGCCAACATGTGAGCAGTGCTGGCCGACTGCAGTTCTCCTTGGTAGTGTGCATTGTCGGGCATTGACAGGCGCACGGGAGCAAGCTTTGGTCGATGCACTCCTCGCCGCTGCGATTCATGGCAGACATGCTCCGGCAGTTCCCGCTCCTGCTGCTGGCCACTCTTCTCCTGCTCCTTGTGGTCTTGTTGCGCTTATGTGTCGTCGTGCGGGGTCTGGGGAGAAGACAAAAACGATGCACGGCGAGGAAGGCGACGATGGAAAGGCGGGAAACCTCCAGCAGACTGCACGGACGTGCGATCGACTTCTCCACTCCAAACCTGGCGCTAGCGGCGCGTCGTGCACCCGCGTATGACCCCATGTTGTACAGTCATCTGCCACCACACGAGCAGCCGTTACCGCCGGATCCGGAAAAGGAGTGGCTGGAGGATCTGTCCCACACTCTGCCACTGGGGAGCGGATCTATGCAGGACTGGATGGGCAGCCATCGCCGACAAAGGGAGGCAGAGAGAAGTCGCCACTCGTTCTCGGCAATGCTGGAGGAGGGTATCAACGGAGGCGGCATAGAGATTGTGGACTTGAATTTCGGCTTGTCAAGCGGGACTGCTGCACCGGTTAGGAACAGTTGTGCATGAAGCCACGTTGCCGCCACGACCGTCGGACAAACGTCTTTGCATGGGGCGGGAGTGGCGGGGCGTGGCGGAAGGTCGTGTCCGGCGCAGATGGGTGTCGTCCGGC